TCGATTAGCATCTTGTGCCGAATTGTTTCCACGGTAACCGGTTGATGGGGGGGTGCTATGAAGGAGTCGAATGACCGCTCTAACCTGTTGGCGAAGCTGACGTAACTCTCCCCTGGCTGCGGACGTAACAGGCGGAACCTGTCCAGTTTGTCGAGGTGGGGAGTCGGATGTGAGATGGATATCTCCGCGACGAGGTCCTCGAACTCGACGATTCCGCGGCCGTAGAGGATTGACGCGGTTTCTCGCACCAAGGGTAGCGTCTTGTTAAGGAGGCACCACACCTTCATATCTGCAGATACGTTATTGATGGCGGGGGTCCGTCGTAGGAGGTCCGCGTAGTCTTCAAACGTTTCGTTCTCCCGTTGACGCGGCATATCCGATAACTGCGGTTCACCTGGGTAGCGGGATGTGAAAGTTTGACTCACGGGGGGCGTCGGCGTTGCGCTAGCGACGATGATCTCCTGGGACGATGGTGGTGACCATGGCGCAATTTGCAGGTCCAATGGTCGGAGGTGCCACCCCGGAGGTGGGATCCATCCTGAGGCGAGGGAGATGGGAATCCTGTTGCTTTCGAGTAGTGCAACGTAGTCTCCCCGATCGTTCCCCGTCGGTGCTCCTAGGCGGTAAGCCTCGACCAGGTACTGCAATGTCGGTAGCGGGATGACGTCCCACTGGCTTTCCGTCGGCGACGAGGGTGCCTGTCGTGGTAGGTCGTTCCGCATTAGGGGCGCGGGGACATCGTTCCGCATTGGAGGCGTAGGAGCCTTAGGGGCTGCGTTTCCCTGGGCTGTGGGTGGATTCGCGGGTGTAGCGTTCTCCGCGGGTTCCGAAACAGGCACCGGAGGCACATAAGGCTGTGCTGCAGCTCTCGAATTCTCGGTGTTGCGTGTCATCGCCTCCGTAGCGTTGTCACGATCAAGGGTTTGAAACCGGACGAACCCCCAGTAAAGTCGGAGACGTTGGTCTTCGGGCAGCGCCACGTTACAGTCGAGTATATTATCTCTCAACTAGATCCGGTCGACAACAGCAACACACAATTTCACAGACACAATACAATAAGTCCAGGATAAGAATACAATAGTGCTCGTCAAGAGTCAAAATCGAAGTGAAGTCTCTGCTCTGGATCTTGCCGCATCTCCTCCAACTCCTGATGGTTATCTTGCATCCGGTTGGTGTCCGGGTGGGCATTTGTTCATTCGGGTTTGAGTTTAGTCCGTTAAGGGTAGATGTCGTTTCTAAGGGTCTCGGGAGGAGGCCCTTACTGTACCCGGGGCACACCACACATCTTGTAAGAAACCCAGACGCTTTTTTTCCCTCCTTCCAGACAGCAAGGCGCGCCAAGACAGGCACCTAGCAGTACAGAGAGAGTGAGAGAGAGCCCCCAAAAAAGAAAGAACATGGGCTACCATGACAAAGAACAACAAGAAGAAGAAGGAGGAAGNGACGCGACCTTAATAGCGGAAATCCCAATCCGTGAAAGGAAATAATGTGGAAATCACTCTGAGTGAAATATGAGTGCGCTGGTTATACTTCAGTAGTAATGACCATGCGCCACATGAACGAGGGATCCGAATATCACTGGATTTCACACAGAGTTGAGCTCACCAGGGTTCCAGGATTGATTGTACCATAATTACCGTAAGGAAGGCTATTGTAACTAATCATGAGAAGTTGTCAAATCTTCTCATAAAGGAAAAGGAAGCAATTATCTATCCTTCCATGATTTCCGTTTCTAGGCTTTCTAAATGGTTTCTTCTGAAACTACCAAAAAGGGGTATTCTGTAAGTTAGTGTATTTCTAAGATAACACAACAGTCAGAAAAATGTCTCTGTTCTGAGATACCGTCATCGTCATGCAACAATGTCTCAGAACAGAGACTTTTTTCACATGCTATGATTGTCAAATGATCATTGTTGCATGTGAAAAATGCAATGGTGAAAAAATCTTTGCACGTTTGACAACATCAAACATTGATGACGGTCAAACCATCAACAATGGTCAAACTGTCAAAAACTGTCAACAAAGGTCTAAAACAGTTGGAGATTTTTCACATGCAACAATGGTCAGATTACCCATTGTCCCGTGTGAAAAATGCAATGGCGAAAAAATCGTTAAATGTTTGACAACGTTAAATGTTGATGATGGTCAAACCGTCAAGTGGCCGTTGTTGCATATGGACAGCATTAGTCCTTCAAACAAAAATGTTTACTACAAGCAAGGGTGTGAATTTACCCTCGTTTTAGCATAAAATTTGTTTGTACTGCGTGGATGCTTTTCCCCCCAAAAAAAATCTGTTCTACTTCTACAGAATGTTTGTTTTGCAGGGTGTTTATGCTATAAGGTGCCACTGTATCTTAATTATACCATACGTAAACAAGCCAGCTTTGTCTGGTCAGTTGCCCATAAATATGACTGACCCTAATCAGAGACTGGGGGAGACGGGCCTCGTTTCTGATCAGGAAATGTAACCAAGAGCCATCTCTGTCACTGCATAAGAAAGAGTGCCCCTTTTTACCTCTAATAAATTCCTGATGCAACAAGATGCAAGATATTTTCTTCCCCGGTCGAATGAAAAAAAAAAATGCTAGTGTTGTTTGTAAACTTGTTCAGAGTAATTTGGCTTTCTTTGAACTCTGTCTTCTCCGTTTTACTGTCAATTCAACAGTTGCTTCAGTGCTGCAGCAATGATGACGATAATGAGAAAGTTTTTACACAGACAGAGATAAGTACCTTGCTCCCAACGGGTCGTCCAGATTCTGTTGAACCTTTGGCCGGAAAACAAACACAACCCATGCTTCTTTCAAGCTCCAACGAGGGCCTAGCACGAAGTTTGGTTCAACAGTTTCGATTCATCTCTTATTATTTCCAGGAGATTCAATATCGCGCTTTTTCATCCCTTTCAACTTGAATCTGCTTTGAAACAAGGAATAAAAGTTTAAGTTAAATTAAATGTTGGATTATCAAGCTTTATGTTAATAGGAAGATTGGCAAAACGTTTTTTGAACCAACTCTTGAAGATCGGTTTTTTTTTTCCTTTCCCATTCTCCGTAAGCAATCATGTGATGGAAATCAACTGAATTATCAAGTTTTCTTCTCCCTCCGATGACTACCTTGTTTTCGGATCAATTTCTTACGCTTGCGTGTTGAAGGTCAGGAAAAAACGAATTAGCATAATTTTCAGTATCGTGGGCACGAATGTGAAGTGCAGACTGCGAAATCTGCAGTCCCGCTGCATTAAAAATGTTTTAGAAAGCTCCCGCGGGATTTTTGTAATAAAAAATACTTTTCCCAGAGTGACACGCAAATTTTGTCCGAATCCTAGGGTCTAAAATGAAATTTCAGCGAGCAGAAAAGGTTCCATTGTTCGGAAGTCCGAGTGCTTTCTCTATTTTTCTTTTCTTTTTTTTTTCGAAGCGTAGGAGGCGTCGAAACGTGCCTTATTCCGCGCTTCTTTTGTTATCGTCGTGTTCTGTGAGCTGAAATAAGTGCAGATTGTTTAATTCCTTTTATTTTTCTTCCCTCTCGAACAGGTATGACCCTGCCGACGATCCACGTGGGGATGTTGTTTAGCACGTCTTGCTGGTACAGAGACCCGCACGGGCTCCCGTGGGTGGAGTACTTGCACTATGGCGCCCAGAAAATTTGGTACTCTGTGCCCTCTCATGCCGAAGGAGCTTTCCGGACTGCGATGCAAGACGTCATGCCTATGCACACACTCCGGAGTCACTCGCATTGCCCTATTTGGCTGCCGTCTGACTCTGCCATGGTTTGTGCTGTTACTTATTTTTCGTCATGGATTTCTGCGATGAAAGTACATAGTACTGTATCTATATCGACGCTATTATAAGAAACGTCCTGAGTTTGGCAGTCGTGTGGAGAAAATAAAAATACTGTACATGTACAGTAAATGAAGTCGAGAGAAGAATCGGGAATCGATGTTGCGGCTAACGGGTGAATATTTGATTGAATCTTTGTTTTTAGAATTCGAATGGAATAACGGAAATGTTGGTTCCGTCTGTTACATTCTTTTGACCTCGTCAAACACGCATGCATCGCTAAAATAGCGGATCAGAGTATGCTGAATTATTGGAGGGGGGGGGGGAGATTCTGTGGCGGGATTTTCGAATGCTAAAATTTTGTCTTCATCGTTTTCCCTTGCCGTTATCCCTTCTCATTTGAATAATCTCGAGTTAATAGCGCATTTTCGGGAGAGAAGAGTGGGGATTTCATCGCGCAAATATTATTCATGTAGACATGTTGCTGCCGCGATTTTAGCCTGAATTCCGTCTTGCTTTTTTGAAAGTGATTCTTTCGAATCGCTTCGATGGACGCTTTTTCCAAAATTACGATTTATTTTCACTTTCGCAAGCTTGTCTTATTTTTTGTCAACATTTTATGTGTGGCACTTTTGCGTTATTTTTAGAGGACCGTGGGAAATTTTCTGCATCTATCTATCTGTTCCTTCAATTTTTTTTATGAAAATCTTTTAACCTGTTTGTTTCACTTTATCGTCTACTCCGTGAATGTCTTGAGTTTTTGGAAGAAAAAAGTTCGTAGATACGAAAGACAAAGTACAGTACAGTGTAATATTTCAATTTTGCGATAATTTTCAGATTTATAGGAGAAATTTGTAATGAAATTTGAGGGAGTTTGCGAAGCTAGATTTGATTTTCATGAATCATTTAATCGCCGCTGCACCATTCGTATTTCACTTTTTCGCTGACACTTGACCAACCGAAATTAAGTGCTCGCTTCTCTGAAGAAAAACAATTTCCTTCTGCTCAAAAGTTTTTTTTTTTATTTAAACTGGAACTACGAAATTAGCCGGAAATCGGTGAAAACAGCATAGGGATTTCATGTACACTGTACTGTTCTATGTTACTGCGGGCGTGTTTTATTGGGCAGTTTGTGGAACAGAAACGTGACCGAGAATTGTCTTCTACGTAGGTACCGATTGAGGAGCTGTTGAAGCGCAACGTGCCCGTATCGAGGGCGGTTCAAGAGCCAGGCAGTTTCGTGGTGATATTTCAGAAATGCTTCGCATCCTCCATTTGCTGCGGTTACGCCGTGTCGGAGAGCGTCAACTTTGCCCCGTCCGACTGGTTGACTACGTGCATGGACGCCTTCATGGTGCGTTTCCTTCGCAGCGAATCTTGTGCTCGCGATTTAGATTTTGTGGCTGGTGAACTTGAGAATCTTTGTTTTTTGACACACTTGATTTTCTTTTTTTCGTTGCTCACTGATTGTTTCTCTTCGTTGCAGATGATGGAGTTTAGCAGGGAAGAAGCGTATTTCTCTATTGAACGATTCTTGTGCAATGTTGCCACTGATCTGAAGGTTGACGCCAATGTTCTGTCTCAGGTATGAAACTGTACAGGACTTTAATTTTGATTCGTGTTTTATGCTGATCGCAATCTACATCGAATGGGAATGCATGTCCTTAGTAATTTTTGAGGAAAATCATTCCAATTTGCGAGAATTTAATTTCTGTTAAGAGAGCGTCGGATAACTACATTGGTTACTTGGAGAGGATTGATTTATTCTGAGCAGGCTGAAGGACTTCATTGAGCTGGTGCTTTTGAGGAAAATCATTCCAATTTGCGAGAATTTAATTTCTGTTAAGAGAGCGTCGGATAACTACATTGGTTACTTGGAGAGGATTGATTTATTCTGAGCAGGCTGAAGGACTTCATTGAGCTGGTGCGAATTCTTCGTACTTTAAAATTTCTAGCTTTCATGATTTTACTGCCTCCGCATTGGTTTCGGCTGATTCTTGTTAGCTGGCTAAGATAACACTAGGTTGATTTTGGTTAGGTTTTGTTACATCAGGTTTATCGTATTTACTAGGCTAACTAGAGTTCCTAGACTACCACTAGAGTATCAGGCATCATAATTCTTTTGTGAGAAATTTGTCCGAAAACCAATTCCCGCCTTAGACCCACGCCCCATTTGTTCTGCTGAAATAAAAAAATTGCGAAACTTATTTTATGTCTAGATCCATTTTTCCCCTTTGATATTTCGTCTTTCCTGTTTTATATTGTCTGCAGGAGCAGGTGCAATGTGCTCGCAATATTTTCCTTTATTAGATTAATATTTCCCCTTCCGTTACTTCCTGTTACATCTACAACTGATGTATTCCTGAAATACTTCTCATGGACAAGGAGATCTAATGCCACACATTTCCTCTTCATTTTTTGCTTAGATGTGACAGGCACTGGTTTTGTGGATTTTTTCTTGTAAAATACAGTGAGACCCCAAGTTGAGTCTCATTTTCTGTCAGGCTTACATGATATAATTTTCAATTGGTGTTATATGGACAAAATACTCACCATAATTCCATGAAAATAAAAAATATCTCCCAATTTAAACTAATTTAATCAATATATTTCAACACAATATGTACATTTGGGGAATGGAATAGTGCTTCCTCTGTACAGTACATAGAAATGTTGAAATTCTCTGTAAAAATAACATTCAAGTNATTTATAGGAGAAATTTGTAATGAAATTTGAGGGAGTTTGCGAAGCTAGATTTGATTTTCATGAATCATTTAATCGCCGCTGCACCATTCGTATTTCACTTTTTCGCTGACACTTGACCAACCGAAATTAAGTGCTCGCTTCTCTGAAGAAAAACAATTTCCTTCTGCTCAAAAGTTTTTTTTTTTATTTAAACTGGAACTACGAAATTAGCCGGAAATCGGTGAAAACAGCATAGGGATTTCATGTACACTGTACTGTTCTATGTTACTGCGGGCGTGTTTTATTGGGCAGTTTGTGGAACAGAAACGTGACCGAGAATTGTCTTCTACGTAGGTACCGATTGAGGAGCTGTTGAAGCGCAACGTGCCCGTATCGAGGGCGGTTCAAGAGCCAGGCAGTTTCGTGGTGATATTTCAGAAATGCTTCGCATCCTCCATTTGCTGCGGTTACGCCGTGTCGGAGAGCGTCAACTTTGCCCCGTCCGACTGGTTGACTACGTGCATGGACGCCTTCATGGTGCGTTTCCTTCGCAGCGAATCTTGTGCTCGCGATTTAGATTTTGTGGCTGGTGAACTTGAGAATCTTTGTTTTTTGACACACTTGATTTTCTTTTTTTCGTTGCTCACTGATTGTTTCTCTTCGTTGCAGATGATGGAGTTTAGCAGGGAAGAAGCGTATTTCTCTATTGAACGATTCTTGTGCAATGTTGCCACTGATCTGAAGGTTGACGCCAATGTTCTGTCTCAGGTATGAAACTGTACAGGACTTTAATTTTGATTCGTGTTTTATGCTGATCGCAATCTACATCGAATGGGAATGCATGTCCTTAGTAATTTTTGAGGAAAATCATTCCAATTTGCGAGAATTTAATTTCTGTTAAGAGAGCGTCGGATAACTACATTGGTTACTTGGAGAGGATTGATTTATTCTGAGCAGGCTGAAGGACTTCATTGAGCTGGTGCTAATTCTTCGTTCTTCAATGTTTGTAGCTTTCATGATTTTACTGCCTCCGCATTGGTTTCGTTTGATTCTTGTTAGCTGGCGAAGATAACACTAGGTTGATTTTGGTTAGGTTTTGTTGGATCAGGTTTATTGTATTTACTAGACTAACTAGGGTTCCTAGACTACTACTAGAGTACCAGGCATCATAATTCTTTTGTGAGAAATTCGTCCAAAAACCAATTCCCTCCTAAGACCCACGCCCCATTTGTTCTGCTGAAATCAAAAATTGCGAAACTTATTTTTTGTGTAGATCAATTTTTCCCCATTGATATTTTGTCTTTCCTGTTTTATATTGTCTGCAGGAGCAGGTGCAACGTGCTCGCAATATTTTCCTCAATTAGATGAATATTTCCCCTTCTTTTACTTCCTGTTACATCTACAACTGATGTATTCCTGAAATACTTCCCATGGACAAGGAGATCTAATGCCACACATTTCCTCTTCATTTTTTTGCTTAGATGTACTCACACGTGACAGGCACTGGTTTTGTGGACTTTTTCTTGTAAAATGCAGTGAGACCCCAAGTTGCAGACATAATTGGTGCATCAAGAGAGTCCTTAAGTCGAATTTCCCTGAGCTGAATCTCATTTTCTCTCAGGCTTACATTATATAATTTTTAATTGGTGTTATATGGACAAAATACTCACCATAATTCCATGAAAATAAAAGGCCGGTTTCCAAGTTGTCTTAGACCTGCTGGGCAACCCTCGTTCCATGAATAGAGACAGACACATTTTTGAAAGAGTAATACGTCATCATTGCTGCAGCACTGAAGCAACTGTTGAATTGACTATGGATGGTAAATTGGTGGGAGAAATGTCCAAGAACTTTTCTTACATCAATTTTAGGGTTTGAAATATCTGTTTCTTGTAATTTGGCCTGAAATTTATTTGCAATTTTATCATAGAATGTCCCTATGTTGAGTCAGTGTCCTCATGTCAGGCTTTTTTTTATTAATTTTTTTGTGGAAATCAAGTGTCCCTATGTCAAATTGTATGCATGTCGAAGTGTGCGCATGTGGGGGTCTCACTGTATATCCAAAAACAATTTATTTTCCGCCTCAATTTCTGGAAAAAAGGGTTTGCGCGATAATTGAGTAAATACGGTACTACCGTATATTTGAAAAATTATTCATTTAGGGAACAGCTGTCCGCCAATACAGAAAGCAAGGTTGGGCATTTTTGTAGAGAAAGTGGCTAGATCTTCGCAATATTCAGTACTGTATTTTAATATTGAGAAGTGGACATTCCATGTTCTTGCCTGAAAAACTTGTGTGGTTGGATGCAATTTTGATTTTTGTGCGGTTACTCTTGTCATAAGTTTGTAAAATATTAATTTTACCTCATCTATCTTCAGGTCTTGTCGAAATTGGAGGCATTGTACAGCAAAGAAGAAGAATTACTCACCAATCTGAAAATGCGTGGAGTTACATTCGTCAGATCTTCTCAAAATGTGAGCAAAAATCACGAAGGCGTTGATCGGAAAAACGTGAAGCGGAGCGATTCTAGTAGGCCAAAAGACGCGTCCAATGATGAGGTGGAAGAGCCGGTTTGTGATGTTTGTTCGCGAAGGAGTTACTTTTCATGGGTGAGTTCGTGGACATGAATTCGACGTACTTCTTGTATGCATAAGTAGATTGTATTCGAACGCTTTTTCAAGGTGGAGACCAAGAGCGACATGAATCTTTGTCTCAAGCACGGAGAACGGTTTTTGAAGAAGCATCCCAAAACCAAGGCGGCAGATATTAAAGTCATAATCAGAAAGTCAAAGGTGAGTTCGACCAAGTTTCCAGGGTTATCTTCATTGAACACCTGATTTTTCTTATGAACGAGACCTGTTCAAGAATTTTGTTGTCAACTCATAGTGCAAGCTTCAAGTACTCGTCATTGTTTCCCGAAAGAACCGGTTTTTTTCGAAATTTTCTGTTATTTTGCATTGCAGTTTGTATTTCCTTTTGATGCTGATTCCTCTTTCAGAATGGACGAGAGCAATTTTTCCGTCTTTCCTGACGATCTGCGAAAAGTCATTTAAACACATTCCACGCGAACTATTGAGTATTGCTCAGTGAAATGACTTCTAAAGAATTAGTGCTGGTTTTTCAATAAGTAAGAGTAATTTATATCGAATAATTGGGCTAATTTTCGCCCAAGCATTATCGCCGTAATAATTTTCCTGAACGTTGTGTATTCGATACCAAGTTCTAGTGGTGTCATGATCAAATCTTTCTGAAATTTGTTTCAGGAGGAAATCCGATCATGCATTAACAAAGCCAAATCGCGAATCATGGAGCTGAGCCAGCGAAAATTGAGCAAGCCATGAATTTGACTCTTCAGACGGAGCAGGAACCCTTCCTTGTTCCCAAAACATAGCTATGGGAAGCATCATCTTCCAATGAGACCGGGAAATGATCTCAGAAAGAGCTGAAACTTTTTTCATCATGTGTCAGATTATTTACCTGAAGTCGAAGCTGCTGTTGATCCTACATTGCAGTGTTCTACATGTTTTTCCTCCCCGAGTCTAAGTGTTATATTAATCCCCACTCGTGTTTCGTCACGCGAATGTGATATTTTTCTACTTTTAAACGATTCTCAAGCATTGGATTTTACTTTAATTTTGTAAGTCGAGAAAGAAGTTGTATTGTGTGCACGATTCTGCTTCTGCTTTGCAATTGAGTGGCTTCGGGTCGTTGACTGAAATTGTACAACGGAAAAAAAGTTCAACTGTGAAAACTTGTGATCGCGATGTGGTGGTCTGTTGTTGGCGATGTTGACGGGGACCAGCCAAACGTGTCATTTTTAGTTTTCGCTTGTGATGCCAATGAAGTGGATCAAATGTTTTCAGTGAACGAAAGCTGTCCGAGTGATTTTCATTTGTTCATCATTTCCCTCGAGTGTTGCGGGAGATCTTCGCAATATCCAGATCAGGAACGAGGACGGGTGTCGAGTCTCCAAATGTGAAGGGTGTGCAAGGGCGAAAAAGGGGAATATTCTGTTGTGTTTTTAATATGCTATTAAATATCAAAGAAAGGTTGGTGAATTGAAAAAATTCAAATGAAAAGGAAATCATTCAGTCAGCTGCAAGTGAAGTGTGTTTATAAGGAAAGTGGCTTTAAAACTGTTGGCTGACCTCTGAGAATTGAAGAAAATTTGCGTCATCCTTAATTAGATAATAAGGGCTGTACCGTATTTTCTGTTGGAATGATGGAGTCAAAGGTAGGAGAGAGCTACAACATTTTCAAGAAATCAACCCTCTTCATTTCCGTCTGTTCCACAAGTATTAGATATTTAAAATTTGGTTTTTTTCATGACTAGAAATCAAAATGTGAGGTTCCCTTCCTACAAGACAAAAACTTGTTTGTCAGGATGATATCCAGCATTTTTTTTCCTTTCCTTGTCACTTCCATGCCTTCCTTTGGCACCAAGTTCATTATTACATTTTAAAATTCCAAGATGTTTTCTTTGTTGAGTTGAGTGGTTCGTGAATTACCCTGTAGAGTGCTTTTTTTCAGTCACTTTTATTTCAAGAGCAATCATGAAGGTTCTTCTGGAATATGAACAGAAACTTGATGAATGTGTTTATTGGTAAGTTGAGTGGAAAAACTTCAGAGCAGTGAGGAGATTTAATAGCCGCTGTAGCCACCATAGGCACTGCCTCCATAACCACCATAGCCACCACCGCCATAGCCACCACCTCCATAACCACCACTGCCACTGTAGCCACTGCCTCCATAGCCACTGCCTCCGTAACCACTGCCTCCATATCCACCATAACCACCACCTCCGTATCCACCATAGCCGCTGCCACCGTAGCCACTGCTTCCATAACCTCCTCCTCCATATCCACCTCCACCATATCCTCCAGTGCCATAACCCCCACCATATCCTCCACTGCCGTAACCACCACCATATCCTCCACTTCCTCCATATCCACCTCCACCATATCCTCCACTTCCTCCATATCCACTTCCTCCATATCCACCTCCACCATATCCTCCACTTCCTCCATATCCACCTCCACCATATCCTCCACTTCCTCCATATCCGCCTCCACCATATCCTCCCATTCCTCCATATCCACCTCCACCATATCCTCCACTTCCTCCATATCCACCTCCACCATATCCTCCAGTGCCATAACCACCACCATATCCTCCAGTGCCATAACCACCACCATATCCTCCAGTGCCATAACCACCACCATATCCTCCACTGCCATAACCACCTCCTCCACTGCCATAACCACCTCCTCCATATCCTCCATGACCACCATATCCTCCATGGCCACCATATCCTCCAGTGCCATAGCCGCCACCTCCATAACCTCCACCTCCGTAGCCACCATGACCATAGCCTCCACCTCCGTAGCCACCATGACCATAGCCTCCACCGCCATAGCCTCCCATACCATAACCACCATAGCCTCCACCACCATAGCCTCCACCACCATATCCTCCTCCTCCATAACCTCCACCTCCATAGCCTCCTCCACCATAGCCTCCTCCACCATAGCCTCCACCGCCGTAGCTACCCATGCCACCGTATGAAGGGTATGCAGCACTGCGAGCCAGCTTTTCTTCAGCTTCCTTCTTGTTTTCCTCTCGTTTCGATCTGTCAGCTTCTGTTGCATCATCACTCTGTGAGTCATCATCCTCAGAAGGCGTGTTGGGAAGGATGCAGCAAACGTCGCTGCTCTTGCTGTCCATTCCACAGGCATAGACAGGCTCGTCTAATTCTCTTTCTTTGAAGCTGTAGAGGACCATGCCTGTAAAGGAAAAACGGATTAAAAAGCATGGTAATGAAGAGAGAAGTAATGTATTGATGCTTGTTGTTAGCATTGTGATGGTCTTCCGTGGGTTCAATTGATGAATCGGACTACATTTATTGCACAAGGAAGTCAGTATAAATAATCGTCTAGCTGTACGGGAGAAGTACCATTAATACCATTGAATGAAATCGTATCGTTTTTTTTCTTCTTTTTACAATTTCGTGTTGAAATTACCTAGTAAGGAAAGAAAGACAACTGTATTGCCTACAATATTGTAACTTTTTTTTCATCGATTTAGAATGGTTTTCGAAGTGCATGTTCTGAAAAAGATTCGTCGCACTCTTCCATCAATTTCGAAGTTCTGTTCATTGCTGAAAAAATGTCAGTTCTTGTTTTTCTTCACTTTTAGTGGGTTTTCTTCCGTTTGAAGTCATAAGAAGTGCTCCGAAAAGAAATATTCTTTTTTTTTCAATTGCACGAACTGAGAATTATGCTTCTATAGGCAATATATCAAGTTAATTTCCTTAACCCTGTGGATAATTTTCCGATTTGTTCACTTTCTGAAGGTGCAAGAGACGCGGACAAATTTCACTGCATTAATTTTTCGTGGTGAGTTTGTGTTTTATGAGAATTTTTTATCTGAAGATTGTTGCTGTGCGTTTAAGAATATCCTAAAAAAGTTGTTTCAATAACACATTTATTCTAGTCAAAATGTTTTTTTTAATCTTGGCCAACGTTTTCACTATCATTGTTTTGTGCTGTATTTTTTTTAAAGTGAGACTTTCACTTTTTGGAGAGGGTTTTATTATGCTGCACATTTTATTATGCTGATCTGTTCGGCGAACTTCGTTGATCATATTTTTCGTATTTTCGATCGTTCGTTTGCCTCTTCCCGTTGAGTTCGTAGCTGGGTTCAATTGTCATGTCTTACATTCTCGACCTCAAATCATATTATGCCTTTTATCATTGTAATTCTTTTTTCTTGTTGTTGAAAAAATTAGCCAGTTTTCCAGCAGTTGAAGGGTCTTTCTTATCCCTATGTCGTGTTGAACGATAAATTACCATTTGCGCAAATACATTACTGTAATTGGCTCAGGTCAATCCCGGTGGACCTTTCCATAAATTGTATATGCGTATGAAAATCCTGTATTTTAAATTAAATTATTTCGTATCTTTTAAATCTGCAAGAATCCGAGTGTTCACTCTGAATTTTCAGTCTCATGTGGTTTTTGAGTAATTTTTTATAGCATAAATCGACTATCGAATATTGATAATGAAAGGTATAAGTATATTTTCACGATTCAATGCTGTTAAGTATTCATGAACCACGTTCCGGGCCTGTTAGATTTTTCAAGTAACGCGTGATATTATTCTCTTATGTCGAAAGTTTATCATTCTAAATGTATGAGTCTGTAGAGGAAGATGAATGTTACCTTGATTGCCCTGACAGAGATCTCGTGCAAGGCATTCGGCACTTTGTGGACATTCCTCGAGCTTATCCGGCAGAGGCTCTCCGTGAACCAATGCTGCCAAAAGCAGCACCAGCCCTAAATGAGAAAGAAGGATCAGAATGAAATTGAATTAAGATCAAATATTGCTGCTGCTGCTGCTGTTCATCTCACCTGCGCGCATCATGCTTTCAGAGTCTCGAATTTCACTGCAAAATTATCCCTTCTCCGGCAGCTGTCAATAATAACTCCTGCAAGGATTAGCTGGAAGTTGAAATGATGATGACAAGGTTCCTTTTTGCCAAGTGTTCGGTCACTGTTCTTCAATGAGACCACACACTACGGGATCGCGGCGTGGGACGAATCAAAAACGCACTGCTAGCAATTTTCGCGCGGGCTCCACGGGGATGGTGCTGAAAGTGTGTAAATGGTTGCGAAGTGATCCCTGTGGTGGTCATTCTTACTTTTTGGCTTTCTTGCTGACAGAGCATAAAAAGCTTTTTTTTTTTTTTTACTAGCCCGGGTGTTTGAACTGCCCATTGCATTGAAGGGGCCGTGCAGAAGAACTGCACTTGAACGAGCCGCGGTTTCTTATTCCGGATTATGATGATTTCCGATCGTTGGCTTAATATATTCGGGTTTAACAGAATTTAAGTCTCATCAGACTGTAGCTCTAGCAATCAAGTCGAATTTCAAAGAAACCAGCTAACAAATACGAGTTAGAGATGTTTTTAGTTTCGGAAACGAGCATTTTTCTTTCGGGGGAAAAATGTTTAATTACAGGGAACTGTAATTAAAGAGGCATTTTTATTTCGTTTCTTATTCCGGATTATTATGATTTCCGATCGTTGGCTTAATATGTTCGGGTTTCATAGAATTTAAGTCTCATTTTAATATAATCTGTAACTCTAGCAATCAAGTCGAATTTCAATGGACCAGCTAACAAATCCGAGTCAGGGAGGTAGTTTTTTATAAAGCCTTTGCTCGTAAAAAGAAGCCCCCTTTTTACTTTTACATTAATGTACCTTCACATTAATCTCTCTATAAACATAAGGCAGAAAATAAGGCCTAATACTACTAAAGGCTAGCAGACCTAGCAAGGCTTAATATATTCGGGTTTCACAGAAATCAAGTCTCATCTTATATAGACTGTAGCTCCAGCAATCAAGTCGAATTTCAATGGACCAGCGAACAAATCCGAGTTAGGGAGGTGGTTTTTCAGCTTCGGAAACGAGCTTTTTTTTTCGGGGAAAGAAAAAGTAAGTACAGTGCTGGGAATTATAATTAGAGATATTTTTTGGACCTCAAATTGCTTCCTAAATGATTTGACAGGGTCCTGAACTAGGAGGCAAGGGTTCAGTGTTTACCCAATTACAGATAGTTTTCCACTTTCTTTTTAAAGCACATCAACTTAGATTTGTATTGCTTCTCTTTTTGCTGCGTCAATAAAATAGCCAAAAAGCCCCCAGAAAATTCAAATCGTGGAGGCGTAAGAAGAAAAGCATCCGAGTTGGGGAGGTTTTTAATTCATTGTTTCTATGGGAATTCAGACAGGGACTTGAAAATTTTAATAATATGGAGGTATTCAACTGCGTGAGGTTCGAGATGTATCGTAGTGTTAAACAGTACAGCGTTCTC